CAGAATCAACCCTATAGAGTTAGCTCCTCTCAGGCATTTCATGGCACTGATAAACTGACAGACTAACTGCGGTGCCTTCTGGACTGGTCAGATGAAGGGAGGTGACGCAGGGCGTGTGTGGGAGGGGGCCAGGACCGGGGCCTTCGTCAGCCACATCCCCGTCTGCGTCTCCCGAGAACTCCGGGCTAAGGAGGGTGAGCCTGCCTGTCTTACATCCGTAGCTGAAACCATCAGATATGGCTGTGTCCTCCAGGACACACAGGCTTATGTCACCTCCAAAAACACAGCACGGGATGCATCACTTGGGCAACAGGACAAAGACTTACTTTTAAAACGGTTTATCTATTTACTTGAAAGGCAGAGCAACGGAAGAGAAACAGAGAGGTAGAGATAGATAGTAGATGGATCAATGCATTTTGTATCTGCTGGCTGCAGGGCGGGGCTGGGCCAGGCCAGGCCAGGAGCCAGGAACTTCTCTCACATGGAGGCAGGAACCCAGCTGCGACCTTGGGCAATCGGATTTCTCAGGTTCATCAGTGGGACGCTGCTTTGGGAGAGGAGCCTCATATGGGAAGTGAGTGGCTTATCCCACATCTCCACGATGCTGGCCCCAGTAAATCCTAATTTAAGATGCTAGAACAAACTCCAGAGACTCTGTGTCACAGTCTCTAAACAGTCCTCAGGTTGATTTTCTTTCCTGACTTCCTCCTGTGTCACCTGTCAGGCTCACCTCCCATTCTCCCACAGGGCAGGAAGGCAGGCTCACCTCCCTCTCCGCACGGCACTACGTGCTCAAAGTCACCCATTCTTTCATTCATTTCTTGTAGAGTATAGGTGACCTGTCTTTGCATTTCTCAATAAAATAGATAAAAATAATTTTTAAAACCCCACAAAACACCCTTCATGCAGTCATGGCAATCAACAAACAAGTTATAATCACTTTGCCAACCACTGTGGGTAGCGTAGGAATCACAAAACACAACAAAAGTAATACATGAAACCCTGATCTGTTCTTCAGTTTCAGAACAGTATCCACCATAAGAAATAAAATTCAAGTGAGGCACACACATACATGTCTGCCTGTTTTAGTCAAGAGGGACAGAGACAGCGCGAGAGCAAGCTCCCACCTGCTGGTTCAACTCCACAAAGGGCCTGTGACAGCGAAGGCTGAGCCAGGCCGAAGCCAGAAACTGGGCCTGCAGTCCGGGTCTTTCATGCTCCCACGTGTGCATGAGCCACCAGCCGCAGAGCTGGCATGCGACTGGAACTTAACACCTGCTTTTGGGACGGGGTGTCCAGAGCAATTTATGATCCATTCATGGATTTCACTTTAAGACCTGAAGCTTGAAAAACAGTAGGATAAGGGAAAGCAGCCCGCAGAGGCAACCACAGGCAGCCAGACAGGGAGCCACGAGGAGTGAAGCAGAGGCTGAGGCAAGGCTCTGACGGATGGGCCATGCGCTGTGTTCCTCCTGCAGTCCACGAGATAGCAAGAGTTTGTGGACAAGGGAAAGAGTGGTTGGTACTAACATTTATAATGGGGAGAGCTGTTCAAAGCGCTCTCTGTAAAGAACAGATGATAAGGCCCAAAGGAGTGCTGACATGCATGCATTCTTCCTTCATCCGTCCACACACCCATCTACTCACCCACCTCTGCATTTATCCAGCCACCTTCACATCTACCCAGCTGACTTGCCATTGCTATGGCAAACGGAGTTGCAATATGGAAAGCAGTTCCTGCCTTCTAGGTAATGTGGTGAAGTATGGGAGTTACACAAGGCAATAGCGTCCCGTGACCTACAGCAGGGAGGAGAGCAGGGTGGTCTTCCTGTAGGAATAGGCAGAGGAGGGGAGGCTGGATGGACTGAGATAGCTAAGACGACTGTGACGCTAGGGAACCATTAGATGGATGTTCAGGAAACAGATCTGCTTCCCTTTAATACAAAGACACATCAATTCCAAGGCAGTTGCAGTTTTTAAGAACACCATCTCTATACTACTGACACACAGCTAGTTATCAGTTGAGCATAACTGAGTCTTTATTCAGGACAAATTAAATGACCTTGATTTTCTCTTCATCAATACCATTTGCGTTTTTATCTTGAGCCGGGAATCTGTTGCTTGGGCAGGGAAACTGGGTGACTCCCTTCCTGTTCTCTGCAGGCCTCTCTGCTGCCTGTTAGTTTCTTTCTTGCTGCCCAACAAAGAGCTAAAATGTAGCGGATGAAAAGAGTCTGTTTCATCACACAGCTGTGTAGGTCAGAGGGCCAGTTCTGGGTTCTTTGGGCTAAAATAAAGATGCAAGGTCACCTGCTGGTGCCCATGGGGGAGACCTGGTGTCCTTGTCACGCAGGTCACCAGCAGAATCTAGTCCCAGAGGCCAAGGGCGGCTGCCTCCAGCTGTCTGTGGGCAGCTGTCAGCAAAGGTCCTCCCCAGCTTCGGGGCTCCACACGCTCACCAACCCCTGTGTGTGTACCTTGCCTCCCTGACATGTGTGGCTGCACCACACTGCGTTAGATTGTTCAGGGCAACCTCCTCTCTTCACACCCTCAGTGTCAATTACATCTGCCCAAGTCCTTCGGCAGCGTTCAGTAACATTGCCAGGCTCCAGGTGAGCAGGCACGGGCATCTCTGGGGGGCTGTTGTCCGGCCATCGTGCAGCGGTTTCATGGGCCCCTTTAGCAAGGTGCAACCCCCAGCGGACCAGGGCCACGTGCCTGCTGGGTCGCTGCAGACCCAGCTGTGAATGGGAGAAGTTAGGATTCACTTCTCATCCATCAGTCAGCCCAGAGCCCTGGCGCTGCTGAAGTGCGCTCCTCAGCTGGCGTTTTCTCAGCATTTCCAGCTACACATTGGCTTCCCTAACAAACATGGAAACCAGGCTGGGGCTTTTGCCCAACGGATCCACAAATCAGTCTGAGTGAAGCCGCGGTGAGAAGTGCATGGGGCCTGTTCTGAGGGGGTTAGGAAGTGGAGGGCCATGTCATAGGTGGATGGGATGTCACAGCTGTTACAGGGGGTCCAGGATGTCCCTCAGTCACCTGCTGGGCCCTGAGACTCTGCTTGAGGGCAGGCTGCCCCCTTATGTTTGGCTTACTGCAGGTGCTCAGCAGAGAGGTGCCTCTTGAGGGACCAGCACAAAAACTGTGGTCCTAGGGCCTGGCGTGGTAGCCTAGTGGCTAAAGTCCTCACCTTGAATGCGCTAGGATCTCATATACGCGTCGGTTCTAATCCCAGCAGTCCCACTTCCCATCCAGCTCCCTGCTTGTGGCCTGGGAAGGCAGTTGAGGACGGCCCAAAGCCTTGGGACCCTGCAGCCACATGGGAGACCTGGAAGAGTCTCTTAGCTTCTGGCTTCAGATCAGCTGTGCTCTGGCTGTTGTGGCCACTTGGGGAGTGAATTAATGGACAGAAGATCTTCCTCTCTGTCTCTCCTCCTCTCTGTATATCTGGCTTTCCAATAAAAACAAAAACAAAAAACCACAAAAAACCAACAACTGTGGCCCTAGAGATACTGTGATATGACCCGGGGCACACAGCTGGCCGGATGGCTCATTCTTTATTAAAATCAAGATGGCAACTCCCGGGCGATGAGCGCCTGCAGCAAGGAGGCCCAGCTGCACGCTGCCTTGCCCAGCACGTGGCCCTTCCTCCTCTCACACATGAAAGTACTGCTCATCAAGCCATCTGCCGACATGTGAGTCGAGAACCAGGGATTCTCTGCCCAGGTTCTCCCTTCCCTCCTAATGAGGCCAATTACCCAAGGGCCTAGGCTCTTCACAGTGAGGAGAAGGCTGCAGCTCCACCTGCCAGAGCTGGCGATTGGCAGGGCTCACCCACGGCCGTGTGTCTGACTGCCTGGCCCAGCAGAGCCCAGCCCGCCCTGGGCAGTTGTTGGGCAGAATGAATGAGGCACACCCCAACTGTGCATCCTTGGGATCCCCTGGTCTCTTGCCCCCAGGTACACAGAGGAAGAGCCACTTGCACAGGGTGCACTGCGGAGAGAGGCCTTAGATGGCCTTTGGCCAGTCCACATCTTGCTGAGAAACTGAGTGAGTGAGAAAAACATGCAATATAAAAGTGTATTTAGCAGAATACTATTTTTTTTTTCTCACAGTGCCAAAAACGTACCCCGTGTTTGCATGGCGGTGTGTGCAATGGGTTAAGTGAATGTTGATAATCAGTATCATGAGGGAAAGTTGCAGACAAGTGCTTTCCCTTCTGCCCCAACCCTCCCACCTCGGGTGCGGACCCTTAGCTGCAAACCGGCAGAGCGGGGACATTCCATCGCGACATTCCATCCTGGGCTGCTCTTTATGGCCTGGGAGTATGGCAGATGCATTGCCAAGGGCTGCTGAGGCTTCGTGTGCCCTGCAGGGCAGGTGGCAGGAGGGGGGGTGCAGGTCACCCTGGTAAGGGGTCAAAGGCAAGGTCGACTTCCCCTTGCCCCTATCAGACCTCCAGGACACTTCTTTGTCCTCCATTCTTAAGCCCTTCGCATGGCACAAGGCCCTAAAAGGCCCGAAGGTGGAATTCCGATTCTCAGGCACAAATCGAGGCAAAAATCAGCAGGTGCACACGTGCATTTGCACTGAAGTCGACAGAAAGGGGGTGCAAAGCGGTGGGAGGGACCAGGGCCTCCCGGTTCCAGTTGGCCTGGAAGTTGGGCAAGGTCGGGCGCAGGCCTCGGGTCGCCACAGCCCGCGGCGCGGGGGAGGGGGTCAGCACCTCAGGTGTGCCCAATTCCAGCCGGCAGGTGAGCCCGGGAGCGTCGGCCCCGTCACGGGCTGCGGGTCTCGGGGGAGCGCACGGCCCGCGCGCGCACTCGGGGTCCGGGGCGCAGCGCGCGTCACCTCCGCTCGCGCGCTCGGGGTCCCTTCCCTGCTCCGTACTCGGTCTCCGCGAAAGCCCGGAGCGCGGGCTCCCGGCCGGGGAAGGGACGAGGCGGGCGCCGGGCATGCTCAGTGCGCGGCGGCGGGGCGGCCCGGCGCGCGGCGACGTGAGCGCGCAGGGGGGCGGCGGCCTCGCCTCGTCTCTCGCTGCGTCGGGCCCGGGAGGGTGACGCGGGGCGCCGCGGACGAGATGTCGGATTTCGACAGTAACCCGTTTGCGGACCCGGATCTCAACAACCCCTTCAAGGTGAGCCCCGTGGCCTGTCCTCGCGCACCGCGCCGCGGGGGCGTCTGGAGACGAAACCCTCGACTCCTTGGCGCCGCGAGCGCGCCCTCAGGCAGCCCGGGCCCGGGGCCGCGGCGCCCCGTTTGGCCGCGGCCACGGTGATAGAGGGGGGTGGTCGCACTCGGCCCCCGCGTCCCCGGGGTCGGGGTTCGGGGCGGAGCCTCGTCCGCGCCGCCCCTCCCCGCCGAGGGTCGCGCCTCGCGGGGGCCCCCAGCGCGCGCCTGCAGGTGGAGGGGAACCCGGCGCGCCTCTCGGGAGTCGGGGACGGCGAGAGCCCGTGGCCGGCGCGGGCTGGGCCAAGGCCGGGGTCCGGCCCCGAGGTGGGCCGGGCGGGCGCCCGTGGGGCTCGGTTGTCATGGGGACCGACGACGGCGCCCGGTTGCGTGGGGGAGGGTGATGCGCAGGTGTGGAGGGGCGAGAGGTGAAGACACCCAGGACGCTGTGATAAAATAAAATGAAAATAATAAAGGATTGTTGTGCTTTTATGTTTTGGACCTGTGCTGCGCGCACACGCCACGAGCGGCGCTGCCAGGTGCCCGCTGCGGGTCAGGCCGAGGTGGAGGGTCAGGGTTAGGAAAAACCCCACACCTATGTCAAAAACTATAGTGCACGTGGACACCTGCCCGCGCCCAGCCGGGGCACGCTGGGTCCTCCTCCGAGCTCCCGGGGCGTCCCCGGCTTGCCCGGGCTGCGCGCGGGTCCGTTTCCCACGCGAGCTGCCTGCGTCCACGGCGGCCTCCAGGAGGCTCGGCCAGGCGGCAGGCGGACGGCGTTCCTGACCTGCACGCCGTGGACGCGGTGTCTCTGCTGCTGGTTTTCGTTTCTCGTGGCCGTGTGCCATAGGAAGCTTCATTTGGACCCACACAGAATGAGACAGTAGCCACTGTGTGGTCACGCGGGAGCCTGTCCCTGCCCTTCTGCCTTTAGACTCCTCAAGAGGGAAAGTAGCCATCCGGATCCGCGGGGCCCTAAGTGTGCTGGTCGCCACTGGCTGAAGTGTAGAATGGGCTCTATCTGCACTCCGTTGCACCTAATGTGACTGAGACAGTTGGTCCCAGTTAACCTGTAACTGATGCAGTTGGAGAATTGGGGAAAGGAAAGTTCTTGTTTCAGTTGTTGGACTCACTTCCCTGTTGCGGGAAATTGCATTATTCTGAAATCCCAGATGTTCTTTGCTAGGGACTCACTGATGTTTCTGGATGGCAGAGTAATAGCTGGATGGATAATGGCTGACCAGAGGGTTGCTTACATCTGTGGGCCAGCTCCCTGGATGTCTGCGGTGACCCCAGGTACAGGAGCTCCTCCAGAGACTCAAGTGCAGGCAGCACCAGCATCCATCCTCCCCCGGATGGGGAGTGGGACAGGGGGACGCGAATCTGTCCAGTGGCTGGATGGGGGGTGGGACAGGTGGGGCTCCATCGCTCCAGTGGCTGGATGGGGGGTGGGACAGGCGGGACTCGATCTGTTGCTAGAACAGGGGATTCCAGTGTCCCCAGTGATTTGCCCAAATCGTAGGTGTTTGAAGAGACATTGTGTAAGTTGCCATGTGGTGTGATTTGAAGGTAACTGTTTCCTGGTGCTCACTGCTGCCGTGTGCTCCTCATCTGGCAGGTGGGCTGTTTTCTTTTTGTTGTCTCCCTTCTGGGGCTTGTGTGGCTGGTTGTCTCCTGGATGGCCCGAGTCCTCTGTGGTAACATATGATGCTCCCATGGTGCTTTCCTCATCTGATATTCATAGGGTTGCTGTAGTAACTCCAAGCCAAGAGTCATTTTAGCTCCAGTCACGGACTGCTGACAGCCGGGCTCCACTGAGAAGCGCACCCTGGGTGCTTTGTCTTTGAGCATCAGTACTGATGCTACCTGGTGCGAGTGTGTCACCTCCCATGTCCACTGCTTGCATCGGGCACAGTCATGAGGTGCACCGGGCTGCACACAGCTCTGCAGTGTTTTAGTGTTAGAGGTCCCTGATGACCTTTGCAGCTACGCTCTGTGCATACGTAACTGCCATCTGCTTTGTGTGGCTAGCAGTGTGTCAGGTCTGTCCACACCAGCATCACCTCCTACGTGTGTCTGTTGTTGACCAAGACGCCATTCTGTGGGGCATGACCACCTGCTCACTGCTCTCCGTGGCATAACGTTTATACACCTTCTTCATTTTTAGTACATGGACACAGTTGGAGGACAGCGGTTGCTCACACGTCTGCAGGGGTGGGTCACTGCGGCCTGTAAGACGTGATCTTCTAGGGCTTGGTGATGGCTGTGGCACTCGATGTGTCTGACTGGTCATCTCTGTCCTTCTTGCCAGTTAGAGCCCTTACCTGTGTCTCAGGTTCTTTTATCTTCTGTGGCTTCTTTCTGTGTAGCAGTGACTTTTGAAACAGTGTTTCTAATATTCTCTGCTTAAATCTTAAAAGTTTTTACACCCATCTTGTGTAACCTTATGTTCATCTTTCTTTTCAAATGTGTTGTTTTAAAGTTGAAAATACTGCTCTGGTCTTCACATATATTGTAATTCATAACTGGTAACCATCCTAGTTTTCTTTATAATCTTGTTAGATTTCTGTTACTTTGTTGTTCTTTAATGTTTCCTTCACTTTTTGTATTAGGAACATTTTTGCAAGTATCTTCATTTGAGCGTGGTTATTTAACTGCCATGGCTTACTTGATGTTGGTGGCTGTGGCAAAATTATTTGCTGGGCTCCCATTCCTTTTTTATTTTTTTATTTTTAGCTTGTGCTTTATTCCAGTGGCTGTGCGAGCTTACTGAATGGTTGTATGAAATTTTTTGTTGTGTGTCAGAAAACATTGAGAAACTGCTACTCCGTAGGAGTGCGGAAGTTTCTAGCATGTTTGAGTTGTTAAATGAGTTGTTAAAGTTGGAGAGTAAACCATGTTTCCCTCACAGTCATTAATTTCTGTCTGACCCTCATTTTCTTCATTCAGCAGATATTGAAGAGACTTCTGTCTTTGTGATATGAGTCTAAGATGCAGGCAGGTAGGCAGTCACTCTTGGAAGGCAAAGTAACAGGGTAGTTAGTAACCGGTGGCGGGAGGCAGTGCCGCCTCAGAGCGTGTGGCTGCGTGCTAGAATGAGTGAGTTTGTTCATAGGAGGGAGAAATTTAAAACGGGTCAGAACACGTTGATGCCTCCTGATCCACTTCTGCATATTGATATGATAATTGAATTAGGAAATTAGAAGCGACATTTCAGTTAATGTAGGTTTTAAATGTGAGTAGAATCATAATTGCAGAGCTGGGAAGGGGACATCTGGCATTGCCTTTAGTCAGGTCTCGTGGACAGCTGTGCCCAGAGGTTGGCCAGCTCGTTGTCTGACCTCCCGGGCAGGTCTTGGAGGGCTGGTGTCAGAGTTGGTCTCTTGAGCACTCGGGTGTCACTGGTGGCGGTGTTTGCGCTGTGTCCTTGCAGTTTTGTCGCCAGGATTCTTGTTTAGCCTTCAGATCTTAGCCTTGGGACTCTTGTGGGGAGGAGTGGTTTGAAAGTGTTGGCTCAAGAGTTAAGAAAGGCCCGAACACTGGAGAGCGTGAGTTTGGATGGGGCAGACCAGACCAGGCAGGGCTACAACACCTGTGGGTCTCATGTGAGCTAGATTGGGGAAGGGCCAGATTGGGCTGAATGTTCCGACTGGTGCAAGCAAAAATTAGAGTGGGCGAGGGTTGCCACGTCATCAGATGGCAGAGGCTGGCACTGGGGCCAATTCTGCTAAGTTAAATGCCAGAACCACCTGGAGAGTGCACAGTCCAGAAGTTGAAGTGGCCTAGTAGGGAGATAGTGGGCGCCTCCCTTGTGGGTAACCACTACCACTGAAGCGCAGGAAAACCAGGACAGGGGCAGAGGTGGCTAGACAGAAGGGCACCTGCCAGTATGTGTGTGGGCTGGATACTAGGTTGGTTGGGTTGAACTAGGCTTCAATGCCCATTGACAAGTACCAGAACTAAATAGGATGTGGGACAGACTGAACAAGCCTGCGGTACAAACTGGCATGCATGTGAGCCAGGGTAGGGAGCAGGTCTGGTGGAGGTTTTGGGGAGTCGCCCCAACTAGGCTGCAGCTCCCACTGGTTTGCCTAAAACAAACTGCAGGTTAGCCTAGAATCTGAATGGGGTGGGTGGGAGTTTGAAACGTCGCTTCTTGGCTGGAGGGGCTGCGTGCTCTTGATGGGGACCCTTGGGTGGGAACTCCCCTCCGCCTTCGACATGAAGCAGTGGGACAGGTCCAAGACAACCTTGGTGGACACGAGTGGTTGGGCAGGTGGCAGGTGCTGCTGGTGGCAGGTGCTGCTGGTGGCGGGTCTGGAGCCTCAGCGGGCACAGGCTCTCATCCCCTACTTGGTGATCTTGGATTGGGACCTGATTCTGCTACCTGGAAGTGACACGCTCATCCATTATGTCTGTGCTTTTGGCTCCACCTGCAAGAGATGTGCCCTGTTTACAGCTGAGTACCATCCTCTATCTGGGAGCCTGGGAGCAAGTACATTTCCTAATGTCTGTTCTTTTTAACCCGGGTGGTCCAAGTGTGTTAACAGTCCATATTCATCTTTTCAGGGTTTGCAGTGCCCACAGGGCAGCCATTCGATGCAAGCCTCACTCCATGTTCAAGCCCCACCCTGCCCCAAATTCCAGCTTTCTCATGTGAGCAGGTGATGGCTCAGGTAACTAGGTCCCTGCTATCCATGTAGGACATCTGGCTTGAGTCCGAGCTCCTGGCTTTGGCCTGGCCCGCCCTGACTGCTGATGACTTTGGGGAGTGTACTCATGCACAGATTTCCTGTCTCTGAAGGTAAATAAGTAAATAATGAACACACCAAGTTCATTTTGAGGTGATTTTCTGGACTTTGAGTGGGGTGTCAGTACGGCGAGTCAGTGCTCAATCTATGTGGAGAATCTGTGTGGCTGCACGTCAGGTGAGGCCAGTGGGTGCTCAGGGACACTGCTGTGCCACAG